GGCGAACCCATGTGCAGTGTCTAAAGTAATCCCTGGCTCTGGGCATTAGCCTTCACCTAATGGGAGTATTAGCTGTGATCTCAAGCAAACTAACTTCTCAGTGCCTCAGGTTCCTCATCTGTGAAATGGGACTCATAACAGTACTCCCCTCCCAGGAATGTTACAAGGACTGAATCAACTAACTTACAGAAAATGCTTAGATTCTGAGAATAACAAAGGGCTCAGTATTATGGTCTAACACGTCTCTTGTTACAGCTATGAACGTGAGTGCCAGTTGTGATCTGTTACTGTGGACTCCCCTCACCTGCTCTACTATAAGGTCTGGGCCCTGCAGCCAGATCTGTTGCCTGGGTTTGAATCCCACCTCGACTGTTTCTTAGAGGGAATGATAATCGTTACTGCTTAGAGAATTAAATGAGAGCAGAAATAAAAACCCTTTTTGAACAATGCCTGGCAGAGAGTACATTTCAGCAAATGTTCCAGCTGCTGTCCCAGTTGACAGATGAGAAAACTGAGCCTTGGTTAGGGAAAGCTAGTGGCAGAGCCAGAGCCAGGTCTGGGATCCTGGCAGGTGTCTTCATTCTGAAGCCAAGGACACAGAGGGCTGCTTCCACTGTTGTTCTGAGAGAAGCTGCTGGTGCCATCCAGGTGCCCTAATTAGTAACTTCCCATCCTGCTTCCCAGCTTCACCTCAACACACCTCCCAGTCCTCTTCCCACCCTTATCGTGACGTACTCTTCTGCATCTCTTTGCATTAGCACATGCTGTTCCCCATGCCTGGAATGCCATTCCCTCTCCTCTGCCTGACGTGTCTTCCTGGCAGCACAAGTCATCCCTCTGGGCTCCTCTCACACTTACCCAAGCTGAGTCAGCAGTTTAAACCCTGTCTTGTTCCCAAAAGTCTTCAAGAGGAAAACACTGTTTATTTCTGTGCTGGTCCCCCTGCGCCCGTCAAGATCCACTGTCTGTCTTCCACCCTGCTCCGTGGGGAGGCTGACCACCCAGACCGCGTCCTTCTGGGTTCAGCCTGAGGCGCCACGGGGAGACTGGAGGGCAGGGGGAGGGCAAGAGGTCCCCTGGCGGCCTGTGTCCCTCCAGGGAGCACGTCTCCTGACCCTGAGATGCCTGGTTCTTCCCCGTGGATGGTGGGCTCCTGAGGGAGGGCCGTGTCTGTGCACAGGGCAGCGCAGAGCACACGCTCGGGAAATGTCCTCGACTCGGACTGCCCCAGAGGACCAAGATGGCCATGCACGTGGGACTCGGCGGACGGAGTGGCGTCGAGCTGGGGCATCTGTCCACGAGCTCGTCCCGTTGCGCGATCCCAGACACTTGCTGCAGGGCACGTGGGCCGGGCTCTGGCGAGGCTGGGGCTAGGAGAGCCCGCATCATGGTGACGGGGACTGGGTGCAAACAGGCGAAGCGCACTCACACCTCACACCATACATCCTATGAAGGCAGGCAAAGGGGTACAAAGTGACAGGGGTGGGGTGCAATCTGGGGGCCACTGGGCAGAGAGGGCTGTGAAGGAGCCAGGCCAGCGATGCTCTGGGGACATTCTACACAGAGGGACCGGGACACAGGAAAGCTGGCGGTGGGAACACCTTGGTCTCTTGAAGAACAGCAGGGAAGCTGGGCATCCGGGGAGACCCTCCCAACTCTGACATTCGAGGGCTCCTAGGAGAAGGGGCCCTCGGCTGGCCATGGACTGCCAGTGAGCCCCATCCTTAGTTGTGCAGGTGGAAGCCCCGTGTGGACACTCTCTCCCTGTGTTCTCGAAGTCCTCACGATGACCTCGTGGGGAGGATCTTGGTGTCCCTGTTCCATACATGAGGAAACCGAGTCTGAGAGAGGTGAAGCAAATTGCCTGAGGTCACAGGGTCAGGGAAAGAATGGAAATGAACCCAGGTCTGCCTGACCCATAGGCAAGAAGGCATTTTCCCAGGGCCAGCACATCCCTTTGCTGAGGAGCTCCTCTTCGGTAACCTTGGCCCTGCAGGGACAGGCTGGTAAGAGGACCCAAAGCTCCTGGCTGGGGGGAGGCAGTCCCAAGGCCACATAGCCAATGGGGAGGGCGTGGGGGTTCCAGCCCCCCACTCTCTGCAAAGGGGACACTGGTAGGTGAACAGAAAAGCCCTGCCATGTCCGCCATGCCCAGACACTCTTCCAGGGCCGGGCGGGTTGGCTAATGGGTATCATTTCAGCCCTTTCATTTCTAATAGACACTGTACTGTCATAAAGACTGTCATTTCCCACGGCTCAGGCAGGATAATCAACACGCTGGCTGCCCAGAGGACTGAGTGGCAGGATCTGGACACGGCCGTGAAGATAAGCCCCTCCTCTCCCTGTCGGCCATTCCAGTCCTTTCCCAACCAGACTAAGCCCTTGGGTTTAAGAGCAGGGCCTGGGGTCCCAAGAGGCCCCTGCTCGCTGCACAATCCCCCGCTCAGGGAAGAACTGCCTCCTCTCAGCCTAGCTCCAGCATTTCATCGCCTTGTGTCCTTGGGTAAGGTGTTTTCCCTCCCCAAACCTCAGTTTCCTCATCTGTAAAATGGGGGCAATTCTTTCTGCCTCACCAGGCAGCTTACGTGAGCTGATCTACAACTTGACTTGCATAGCTGGTGTTTATGGGCAGTCGGCATGACAGTGGCGGTGCCAGAGGGGATAATGATGCTTGTCACATGTTAAAAACAGAAACTGAGCCCAGAGGGGCGCCTGGGTGGCTCAGTCATTAAGCGTCTGCCTTCGGCTCAGGTCATGGTCCCAGGGTCCTGGGATCGAGTCCCGCATCAGGCTCCCTGCTCAATGGGAAGCCTGCTTCTCCCTCTCCCACTCCTCCTGCTTGTGTTCCCTCTCTCGCTCTCTGTCAAATAAATAAATAAAATCTTAAAAAAAAAAAAAAAAGAAAGAAGGAAAATGAGGCCAGAGAAGGGAGTGGTCTCCCTAAGGTCACACAGCAAGTTAGCTGGGCTGAGAACTTGGGTTTCTAGGCCAGAACTTTTGCATGAACTCCTCAGTGGTCAATGGTAGTCACTGAGGTATGTTGAATCCTTCTCAGGAGCCGGGCACTGTCATGAAGGATCTCATGCAGTCCCCCCACAGAACTGACGAGGCAGGTGTTATTACCATCACCCCCAATTTGCAGGCAGGAAGGTAGACCCTGTGGGATGCCCTCAAAGAGGATCTGGTACGTGACAAGTCCTGTCCAGGGAAACTGAGACCCAGGTGGTTGGTAGGCTAGCAAAGTTAGCTCAGTGGCTGGAGGAGTCTGAGAGGAAGAAGGTAGCTGGGAGAAAAAGAGGAAGGGGCCTCTGCTCCAAACAGGCCAGGGTGTCAGTCATGATCCCCTTACTGGCACATCACCCTGCCAGACTTCCCTAGTTCGTCGTGTTGCTACGTTCTCACAGCACGCTACAAACAGTGGTCCCATTTTGCAGATGGAGATATCGAGGCTCATACAATCAAAGTAACTTGCCCAGGTTCCCACAATTAATAAGGAGAACTTGGACGTGAGCTCAGTTCTCTTAATGTCCAGGCAACTCTTTTTCCCTTGCTTAATTCATTTTTTACTTTGTTGGCGTTTTTCTCTCTTGTCTTCTCTGCAAGTTACCAACTGTCTGCCTCCCATCCCCTGACACTGCTACACCGGACGTAAGCAAGCATCCTGAAGGTAGGAATCTCATTTGACTTCTTCGCTGCTGTGTGCTTGGAGCCTGTCACAACAGTGGGGACAAAGCTGGAAACAAGTGGCTGTTGGTTGGGTGGTTGAAGGAACTGTAATCGGGCTACAATTTGTTTAAGTGATACCAGTGGTCGGCATGGTCCATGTGGAGATTTCTTTTGATTGTGAGGGATTCATGAGCAAATATACAGGTGGGCAGGGGAAAGTGGTGTTATTGTAACTGCATTTTGTTGTTGTTGTTGTTGTTGTTTATTTTTCATGAACAAGTTTGCTCCACTTCTTGATCCGTAGAGCTCTGGGGAGGGCTGGACCAATCTTTAGGAGGATGCCAGAGCACTTCTCACAAGAAAGCACTAGAAAGCCAACCCCCGCTCCCCATGGTGTAAACTTAGAGAAACATGGGGTGCTGGCGTAGCTCTGAGTGAGGTCCAATGGCAGGAGAAGGCCCCCAGGCTCCAAAGAGAACTCATCTGAAGGGCAACATCAGGGGTGCGGACAAAGACATGCGGGACTTCGATCAGCTTTTCAGTCAAGGCTCCCCATCTAGGTAAGGAAAAACACCACGGAGAAGGAGGCACCAATCCTCAGCTTGCAGCCTCCCTGCCCAGCACAGTGTGGGCCTGCCCGTGTTTCGCACAGACCTGACCCCGCAGGAGCACCGGCCCCTCCTCAGACCCGAGCCGCCGGGATGCGCACAACCAGCCGCGAACAGCGACACCGCCTGGCGGAGGCTGGGATGACGGCACCAGGTGGGGGGTCAGCGCCCTTTCTCTCTGTTCCTGGAGTTTGCAGGCAGGACGGGCCCGCTGTGGACAAAGTCCTCAGGGTTCCTGAGTCGGCTCTGGAGAGTGGAGGCCCCTGGATGGTTACTGAGCTTCCTGCCGATGAAGGCTTGTGATAAGCGGTTAGTTGGAAAAATAAGAGATGCCCTTGTTTTTATCCCAAGTCGGTGAAGCCCTTGTGCGTTTAGGGAACTTCAGTTTTACCCTCTGTCACCAGGGACCACAGCTATCCACATTGACAAGTAACACACGGGAGACTTCTTTTCGATAGCAGACTATCTTTGAAATTAGTAACAATTGCACACACACGGGACATGCCAGAGTTGACAAAGTTCTTAGGCATTCAGGCTCTTCTCTGAGCCTCAAGCCAACCCTGTGAGGTAAGGAGGGCACACGGATCCTCTCTAGGAAAGTGAGACTCAGAGAGGGACAATGACTTGCCCATGGCCACCAACGAGTCGACAACACCCGGCCCTGCCCCTGTTGTGGGGACCCCAAGCTGCCTCCCAGGGAAGCCCGCACCCAGGTCCCTGCCCCCCTCACAGCAGCATCAGGACCACGATGGCAACAACCATGAGGACTCCAGCCAGGATGCAAAGGCCCAGGAAGACAATGTCACTGGTGTCCTGAGGCACCATGGCCACAGGGCCCTCCAGGGCCTCCACCTCATCCCTGGGTGGTGCTTCCTGAAGATGCTCAGCTGTGGCGGCATAGGGCCCAAGCCAGTCGGAGCCAGACAGCAGATGGACAGAAGCCTCCTTGCGCCGTGGCTCACAGCGGACCTCATACTCATGGACGTCCTCCTGCCCGCCAGCCGAGAAGTCGATGTACAGCACGCTGACGATCACTGAGGTGTTGTTCCTCCGCTGTGGGGGTCACGGGGCACTCACTCACACCTGAAGGGGTCGGGGCTGACCCTGTGCCCCTAGGTATGTAGGGACTCTGTGCCAAGGGGGCAGAACGCCAGGAGCCTGGGTTCTAGTGCCAGCTTGACCACCGACTCCCTTCCCACTTGGAACCTCAGGGTCTCCACCTGTAAAACGGACACTATGGGGATGTCTGATGGGTCCGTGTTTGCTCTGGCTTCAAGGAGGCGGGGTCTATGAAAGACAATAACAGCAAGAGCAGGCCCATCTGCCATGTTCCAGGCTCTGTTTTAAGTGCGTTGTCTCATTTCATTCTCACTACGATCCTCTTTTATTGGTACCATTAATATCCCCATTTCACAGATGAGGAAACTGAGGCCCAAAAGTTAAATCCCTTGTCTGAAGTCACACGACACACAAGTGACAGAGCGGGCAGACAGGAAAGGTAGGAAGCTGCCGTCCCTGGATACTGGGCCACCCCTCTGGGGAAGGGTGTGAAAGGGAGTTTCAAAGGGGCTTCCAAAAGGCTCTGATTCCATGTCCCCAAAGGAGGCTTCTGCATTTGTGCCCTCAACCTGTCTGCCCCCAAACCCTCTGAGGAGGACCGGTGTCCTTGATTTTTGTGATACAGAATTGAGACCCTGGGCAAAGAAAGATGGGGCCTGTGAGTAGAAGGGGACCCAGTAAAGTCAGTCCACATGATAAAGAAGGGAGGAAAAAAATCACAGGAAGTGGAAGTTTTTAGGGGTTGTTGATGAGTGAGAGACTTGAAGGGGAAAAGCCAGCCACACAAGATGTGCTGTTATGGTTATGAAATCAAGTCTCCGTTGTTTTTTAAGAGATGCACAGAAAGGTGGCCATTGCCTTGGGCTGTTCGAGCTGTGCATCTTTGAGAGCAGCTCAGTGCAGAGACTGGTCCTCGAGCATCTAGGACGTATAACGGTGACACTAGGAATCCAGGAGTCTAAGTTTCTCAGCTTTTATGTTTCCGTGGTATTAGCCCCAAGATTCTATGATTCTGTGGCTCCGAGTTATGGTGGTGGTTGCATGCCTCTGAGCCTCTGAGTGTCCGTGATACCTCGTTCTCCGTTTCCTGGTTCCCTGCCTCTGGGATTCTCTGTCTGTCATTTCATGACTCTGTGGAGTGTCCACAGAAAATCCCTGAGGGACTTAGGGCATGGAGTCAGGGTGAGGGCAGATCATCTTGGCAGCCAAGACTGCCCCCACTTCTCTCCTCAAGTCAAAAGGACAGAGGTTGCCAGAGGCTGGGGAAGAGGAGGGGTGGGCTGGAGGGGCCCCAGGTGGACATTTGGCTAATGTGGGGGGCAGGGTGGTATGGCTTGCTGGAAAGTGGTGATTTCTGCCAAGCCAGTCTGACACATCCCTGGACACCAAGCCTTGGGGGTGGGGGTGAGCTCTCCCTGGAAGGGGGGAATCTCTCCTTTCCCCTTTAACCTGCCCCTAAGAATGCAGACATCTGAGGTGCTTGGGCCACTGCCCAGCGACTCCGAGGGCCCCAAACCTGAATTCATTTGTAAGCCTCACTGCCTTTGGGGGGAAGTGGATCCTGTTACTTGAAAGGCCCTTTTGTTCTGTGGAGCACAGGGACCATTTGGATCACAGGTTGGGGAAGGGGTGGCTGGAGGCAGCCGGGTGTGAAAGGGGTGAGGCCTGGGGGGGTGGGGAGTTCCCGGGAGAAGGGAAGGAAGAGCAGGAAGGCCTCCAAGGACGGTCAGGGTCAGGGCCTTGCAGGAGGAGCCTTCCATAGGGTTGTCGCTGGGTTACTCAGTGGGGCCCCCTTCTCTGTCTCCCATTTGAGTTCTTTGTCACGTCTACACTGAGCAAGTTTGTTGAGTTGTGCAACCAGGCTTGTGGGGTCACTGAGCCAGGAGGAGAAGCTGAATTCTCAGGAATGGCAGGTGCCTCTCAGCAGGGGTCAGACGCCCTCCATCACACCTGCGCCCCCCCTCCCCCCCCGCCCAGCCCCTACCTGAGACTCGGTGCCGCAGGTGTCAAAGCGGGCCTGGATCCGGAAGGTGCCACCGGCTTCCTGCGCAGCACAGCTGCGGCTGCCCAGGTAGACCTTGGTCCGCTCCAGCGGTGCCAGAGTCTGTGCGGCAATCAGGATCTGGAAGTCCGTGCGGGAGCAGCTCACGTTCATGGGCACGACTGGGGACGGAGGGAGGGAGCGGCTGGAGGCCTTAGGGGCAGGAAGTCTGCCCCCACCACCCCAACACCCCACGCAAAGGGTGATGTGTGCAGCCTAACGGGGATGTTTCACGTGTGTTACTCCGTTTAACTCCATCAGACTATGAGTTCCCGAGGGCAGGTACCCGGCCTTCTCATGTCCTTGCAGCCTGGCTCAGAGCTTGGCAGGTGCTGTGAATTCTGAATTCTGAATGAATGAATGAGTGAGTCAGTGAATGAATGAATGAATGAATGAGTCAGTGGATGTATGAATGAATGAACGAATATTCTTAATCCTAAGAAGAGGTACTACCTGCTGATCTCTTTACCATGTGCCAGGTAATTCGTTCAACCATTTAACAAATATTTCTTGTTGGCCTACTATGTGCAGGACACTATTCTGGCACCACAGAAAAAGAAATGGAAAAAAAAAAACAACCCAACACCCCAAACTTCCTGCCTTCTTGGACCTTACATTCTAGTTGGGCAAGGGGGCAATAGATAGGTAAAATGAAAGATGTGTTGGAGTGGGCTGAAGGAAAATCAAGCGGAGAAGCAAGACAGGGAAAGGCAGAGTATGTGTGTGGGGGTGGGGGGCAGAACTGCGGAGAAGAAAGCCTCACTCGCTCCCCACGGTGACCCCATGAGGTGGACACAACTAAACCCATTCTACAGTTTTGGAAACTGAAGCTCTGAGAGGTAAAGTTGTTTGCAGTGGTTGAGTTGGGATTTCAGCCATTATTGAGTCTGTAGGTGATCCCCCCCACCCTATTTGGTGGGCCCCCACAGCCCTCCAGGCCGAGATGGTGTGACTCTCTGTGTCTGGGTATATCAGAGCCTGTGTGCGTGTACAGGGCAGTGCTGGCTGGCGTGGGGGCAATGGAGGGGGAGGAGAGGGCGGCTGGTGGGTGGGAAAGAGAAGAGATGGCAGGCAGAGGCCTGGAACTCTCAGCCCCTCTCCGGGAAATGCCTCAGACATATTTCAGCCTCTGGTGTCTGGGCAGTCGGGGATTTATGGGCCCGCCATCTCCCACGATGATCTCGGTGGCACTGAACTGTGTGTCACCCCTGATTGATGCTGAGGTTGTCCTCTAGCCGGGAGGCCGCCTGCAGCCTGGGCCACATCTGGAACCTCGTCTAGCACGAGTGCCCCTGTCTGGCCCTGGGCTCCCACAGGGATCTGGGGAGGGGGGCGGGGTGGGTGGGAGCGGGGGCTCCTGCCGCTGGAACAGAGCTGGGTTTAGAGCTGCCCCACCCTCAGGCTCTGTAGGCACCAGAAGGAGAAGGGGCTTGTCCAAGATCCCACATTGCTGGGAGAGGACCCATGCCTAGAAATAAGACGATCAAACCAAAGGGGACCTTAAAGATCCTTCAGCCAGTGTCCTCATTTTACAGGTGGAATAACAGACCTGCAGAGAAAAAACCACCTGTAGCTAGCTGAGGCAGAGCCTGTGGCCCCTGGCTCTCCGGAGTGAAACCCTAGGAGGGGTCACTCTCACAAGGGACAGCTCTCCTCCCCCAGGTTATGGAGGAAGCCAACTGAGGCCCTGGAGGGTGGGTCTGCCCAGGCCACTTCACTGCCACTAGCTCGCTGTGGCGCAACCGTGTCCTTCCCCATCACCACTTGCGTAGGGGGTAAGGATGGAGGGAAGATGCTTGATTGCAGACCAGGCCCGAGACATGTGAGGGACAGACATCCACCCTCAGCAAGGATGTCCCCTGTTCTCTCTTTTCATCTGAATGGCCGCCTGCAAAGGACATTCATCAACCCCTTGCATGGATGAGGCCACTGGATAGTCGGTAAATGGGAGCATTTGGATGTGGCCCTGGTCTGTCGGAACTCAGCCCTGGCTCCCTCCGCCGGGACCCTACTGGGCCACAAAGAAGGCAGGCAGGGGTCCTAGTCTTGGCCGTGCCCCCGTTGCCCACGTGACCGCGGTGAAGCGTTTCTGCTCTCTGCCCCTCCCTTTCCACACCTGCACAACAAGAAGCTTTCGCCTGCTCAGGTAGAGGGAAAATGGGTCCAGAGCCAGGCTTTTCTGGGCCCACGGGCCAGGGAAGGGTGACGGGAAGAGGGGAGAGATGGTGGAGGCTGCTGGCTGGCAAATCTAACGGGCACTATGGAAGCTGGAAAAGCCCAGTGCCAGCATTCTCAGCCGCCTCTGCCACTGGGCATGGCCACCTGACCAAGTTCAAACTCTTGAGACCAAGAAGTCTTCCAAGAGCTTCTGAAAATGCTTTTGTTTTCCTGGTAACGGGACATTTGTAGCTGGCATCTCCCCTACCCTCTTCCAGCCTCGAACGTGGACATGATGTCCGAAGTTGTAGCAGCCATTTTGCAGTCATGAGGCCAAGAGAATCCCAGAGATACCAGCTGAGACAGTGTTAAGTCCCTGAACCAACAAAGCAGCTCCCTAGCTCCAGACTTCTTGTTATGTGAGGAAAACAAAAGCCACTTGTTCAAGCCACTGTCAGTCAGGATTTATGACCGATATAAGCAAAGCTTGTCGACATCTCCATGGTTATACCAATTGTTTATCACAAGTAACATGGCCATATTTTGCGTACTATCCCTGGATACACAGGATAAACCACAGCAGGAGAGAGGCCAGGGGCCCAAGGGGGAAGGAGAGAGATGGGGGGAATTAGGGCACGTGGAGTTGGAAGCTGGGAAGGCAGGACTCTGCGGGGTGGAAATAAGCAAGGGCCACGTTGGTGCGGTCCCTGGGGTCCCAGGGCAGCAGTCAGCAGTGTTGTAGCCACCCGAGAAAAGGTTGGAGGAGACCCGCGGTGGGATGGAGGGAGGAAGCTGCAAAGGACCCCAGCCTTGCCCACACCCCCCCCATCAGCACGCCCACACCCTCCACCCCAGCTGACCTCCAATGTAGGCCACGGAGAAGCCCCTCCGGGTGGTGCTGCGGTCCGTGTGCAGTAGGAGCAGAAGCTGGTTGCGGCTCGAGGTGACCGGGGCTGGCAGGTGGTGGCCACACCAATTCCCCAGCAGGGAGGCCTCCTCGCTGGCCCCATCAAAGGCTGCCAGATGGTCGAAGTCACAGGTCCTGGTCAGGCTGTTGGGACCCTCTAGGTCCAGGTCCAGGAAGAACACCTTGACCCGGTAGCCTGGAGGCAGGCGGATGGTCCAGTGGCAGTGAATGTTGTTAGGGTAGGCGCTGGGGTACTGGGGACTGGAGAAGTTGCCCCGCACAGCCGTGTATACCTCCTGGCATTCTCCTGGGTTGGGGAGAGTGGGACAGAAGGGACAACAATGAGAAGGGTGGAGACTGTCAACCTCTGCAGTACAGCTTGGGCAGTGGGCACCATAAAGGTCCTAAAACCACCCTGGCCCACCACCTGGTAGGCACCGTGGTGGGCAAACCAGACAATGGATCCCAAAGCCTGCTTTAAACGGGAACTAGCTGAAGGCTAGGACTCTCATTCCAATTCGCAGTCCACTTCACGAGTGCTGGTCCGGTTAGGACTTCAATAACCAGACCTAATACTTGTCCTCAGAGTTGAGTCCAAACTTGGACCTGACAGACAAGATGGCTCATGACATGACCTTGCTTGTTTTGTCACTGCCCCTCATCCAGCCCTACCTTCCAGCCTCCCCAAACACCTCCCAGCATACGAGCACACTAAACCCTCTCTGTCCTCCCTGCCTTCGCGCATGCTGATCTCTCTGCCTGGAATACCCTTCCCTTCCTTCTGCCTCTGGCTAACTCCTTCAAAGCACTACTCAATTCTCTCCTCCTCCAGGAAGTCATCCATGATTCTTATTGTTAACAAAGATCACAGTGGGTTGTCATTGTCTATTTCCTTCTCCATCTCCTCCACTCTCTAGTTCATTTTACTATCAAGGGTTCATTCATTCATTTGTACACACATTGATTGAATCCCTTCTATGTGGCAGGTACAGAGACAAACCCATAGGAACTCACAATCAGGGGAAATCAACGTGCCGACCACATTCATAATGATAAGTGTTAGATCATTGCTGCAAAAAAAAACTCCAGAAGGAGTTGAAAGAAAGGACTAATTCTGAGTCAATCAGGAAGACTTCACAGAGGAGGTGACATGCTTACGCCTTGGCACTGGCCAGGCAGGGACACGCACAGCATGCACAGGGGACTCGAGGTATAGCCCCAGCCCCTTCTACCTGAGAAGTAGTAGGCCTTGAAGCCCCGGCCTCCAATGTTAAAGTCAGACTTGAAGACCACCTGCAGCTCGTGGCCCAGGGACACAAGAGTGGGGGGCCGGGTGCTGCCACAGTAGCGATGCCCGTGGGCGGGGCCAGGCCCCCCAAGCACGGCCACGTAGTCATAGGTGCACTCCTCACTGCCCTCCACCTGGAAGTCCACGAACACCAGCTTGACGGTGGCGGGGCCGGAGGCGTGGATCACCCAGTGGCACTCCACGTTGTTGGGGTAGTTGTCCGGGTAGTCAGGGCTGGTAAGGACCCCTGAAAGGCCCGTTAGGACACCACCACACACATCTGCAAGGAAGCCCTCCTGAGCTGACTTTTCTTCCTCCCCGTGGCCCCCCAACCCCCTCCCTTGGGAACAGGACACCCCTCAACGTGCCACCCCCCTGGGTATCTATCTCATGGAAACCTCGTCACCATCCACTGAGCGCTTGCTGTGTGGCAGGCACAGACCTGGCACTTGGCACCAACGCTGTCTTTTGACACCATTACCATCACCCTAGGGGAATGCACAGTGGTTCTCCCCATTCTATGGTCGCGAAAATGGAGGCACGGAGAAGGTAAGTAACTTACCTGGGGGAGTCTAGGTTCACCCAGATAGACTCTGAGACAAGGGTGTGAGCACAAGGAGTTTATTTGGGAGCTATAAGGGCCAACAGAGGGCATGTCAAGCCAGCTGCCCAGCCCTGTTGGGGAATCCTGGGGAATGGCGTCAGGCACACACCTCAGAGTTATGTCACCTGAGAGAAAGGGAGCTGAGGCGTTCATACACCAACTCCCAAGAGCCCAGGCCGAGGGCTGTGGGGACAGAGGCGACCTGCCGAGACTCCGGAAGAAGGCTTCACATAGAGATATGGAGGTTGGCAGGAGCCACTGAAGTGATGAGTCCCCGGGAACCTGGGTGGGGCCCTGGTGGCAGGCCACCCAGCTGGTAATGGGGAGAGCAGGCATCGCCTGGTTGCAGAGCCTGGGCACTTGACCTTGTGATTCTCACTGTCCCTTCCTACCAGGCCTGTGGCGCACAGAGGCTGAGGTGCCCAAGTTCAGCAATGTTCTCAAAGCGCCCTGACAGAGGAAACTGAGGCTTGGAGAGAGGGTCTGGTGAAGTGGAGATGGGCTTGAAGTCTGAAGACAGGTGTCGGTCCTCAGCTCTGTCTTCTATGAGGGGTGTGACCCTGGGCAAGTGACCCAGCCTCCATGAGCCTCATGGGAATACGAGAGGTCAGAAGACCTGCCCAGCCTGATCCACCAGGTGCAGGCTCATACAGAATCTCCAGTGCTGATGAAACCCTTTTGGAACCCAGCCCTGCCAATCCAGCCAGGAGGTGGCTGATGATGAATGCCCTGACCATGTGGAGGCACCAGCAGGGTGGGGCACACTGCTGTTTCCCAAGACGCCAAGAACCTCACCCCAGGGCTTGGCTTTGTGAACCTAGCTCTGCTCTGGGCTGGGCGCTAAGACTTCTTGTCCCAGTGTTCCTGCTTTCAGCCGTGTAACCTTGGGAAGGCACACTCCCTCTCTGCTCTTAACTTTATTGTTTGTGAAATGAGAGGGCAGGTTCTGACAGTCTGTGAGATCCTTTTCCACGTGAACACACTTAGCAGAAGCTTTGAATTGTGCTCCGGAGCTTTGCAGCAGCCCCCTGGGGCATCCGTCGGCCTGCACGTGGGGCAAATTTCACTCCTGTGCTGTATTCAAGCTCTCTTTAACGCGCTGAACAACAGCATCCACAGTCACAGGTCATATATAAAAATTTCACTCATTGGAGGCCATCCATATTGACTTATGTTTTCAGTGATTGGCTTATAATAAGTAAATGTTAAAAATATGAACTTCAAAAATACAGTAAATGCGTACCAAGAAAGTACTGCCTTTATCTCTTTTATATATAAGGGATTAACCTAAGTTTCCATTTGCTATAATGGTACTCCTGTTTTTAAAAATGCTGGAAAAGGGGCACCTGGGTGGCTCAGTCGTTAAGCATCTGCCTTCGGCTCAGGTCATGATCCCAGAGTCCTGGGATCGAGCCCCGCATCGGGCTCCCCGTTCAGGGGGAAGCCTGCTTCTCCCTCTCCCACTCCCCCTGCTTGTGTTCTCTCTCTCAAATAAATAAAATCTTAAAATAAAATAAAATGTGGGAAGACATTGCTTATGGAATTATGACTTTGATATCCTAACATTTTAAAATCCTAAGAGTCTAAAATTCCAAAACTGTGACGAGATCAGTCTGTGATTCTTGTGTTTTGGCATTCCGCAGTTCTGTGCCTCGAAAGCCAGCTCAGGGAGGGGCGTCCCACCCGAGCCCTCCGACTGTTGTATGGGGAAACCTGCGTCCCAAGAGCCTCTGTGGTTGTCTGTGGCTTGAGCGGACACAAGTAAGGCGTTGGGTTTGGGCCTTGGGAGAAGGGAGGAAGTTTGAGTGTCTGCAGAGAGGCCTGGAGACAAGAGGAAAGCTGAGACGAGCAAAGCCTCTGCTCCCCTCACTAGACTAAGGGGCAGGTTTCCAGGCAGAGGGAGGGAGGGTTAGGGATCCACAACGTAAGAGGCATTAGGTTAAGGCCTGGGGAGGGAGAGTGTCACCGGCTCCACACAGATGGCCCTCGTGCATCTTTTACTCCAGAGGACTTGGGGTGGGGTGCCAGGGGTCCCTGCGCCCGTAAGTGATGGGGTGCTGCAGAGGGACGGGCAGCAGGGGCAACCTGGTGTCCTCTCCTTCGTCCTGATGCCATGGTATGGGATAAGAAGGACCATAGCGAGCACAAGAGGCCTTGCTCCTGGGTACAGTGAGACCCTCCCAGGGCTCCCAGGACTGCTGCCCTGAAGATGGGAACCTACAACACCATGACCACCGCTGGAAGCTGTCCTTGTCCCTGAGCTGTGGCAGCAGGGCCATCCAGGCTCCGGAGCTGCCGGCAAGCCTCGCCTCAGCCCACAGCTCTCCTCCCCCCGGCCCCCGCAGGGCCCCCCTCTCCCTGCCAGGCCCCCCTTGCCTTTCTGGTAGCCAGCAGAAAAGCCTTGGCTGGCCACGTGCTTGTCTGAGTGGAAGACGACAGACATGACGTGCCAGGAGGAGGTGAAGGGCGGCGGGGGCACCCGGCCGCAGAACCTCCCCAGCAGGCTGCCCTTGTCCCCCGAGGCCCCGTTGTACACCTCCAGGTAGTCGAAGCCGCAGGAGTCATGGTACTCCAGGTCGAAGGCGTGGAAAGTGAGCAGCACCGAGGAGCCCTCGGCCACCACGATCAGCCAGCTGCACTGTATGTTGTAGGGGTAGAGTCTGGGGAAGTTGGGGCTGGAGAAGTTTCCGGAAGGTGCTGAGAGCACACCCCCACATTTGACACCTGGGGCAAGAGGGAAGAATGGCTCGGTCAGTGCTGGGGTCCTGGATGGTAGAGCCGGCCACAGACCTGGGTCTTCGGGATGGGGTGAGGGAGCATGAGGCCATGACCCTAAATCAATTCACTGATGCACGTGTTTGCTCATTCATCTGCTTAATCCTCAAATACTTATCAAGCACTCTTTTATTCATTCAACAAATACCATCTGAGTGCTAGGCAATGTTCTAGGTGCTGGGGTTTCAGCAGGAACAGAACAGACAAAAATTCTTGCCTTCGTGGAATCTCCTGGGTGGTTCTGATGGGGAATGCAGATGATAAACACGGTGAGTAAAATATAGAGCATACTGAAGAGTGATTAGTGTTATGGAGAAAAATAAAGCAGGGAGAGGAGACAGAAACGTTGGGGCAGATCTATAATTTTAGATAAAACAGTACTATATGCCAGATCCTAGGCGTGTACCGTAGGGAATTTAAAAATTACAAACGATAATACCCCCACCCTCAGTGAGGATGCGCACAGCCTATTGTACTCTCACAAGTACATTCTTATACGCGCATATTTGCTGATATTTAAAAAAAAGAAAACAATGGAAGGAAACTAATAAAAATGATTCTCTGTCAGGGGAAGGAGTAAACAGAGGGGAGGAAAACAGGCATGAAGCTAGACCTTTTTCAATGAGACCTGTTTTATAATTTTGACTTTATAGTCATGAATGACTTTTTTTTTAAAGATTTTATTTATTTATTTGACAGAGACACAGCGAGAGAGGGAACACAAGCAGGGGGAGTGGGAGAGGGAGAAGCAGGCTTCCCG